GAAGAAGAATGGCAGATTGTACGCGGCAGACATGGATACAACGCTAACAAGATCTATTGTGATGGCAGACTGTACGCGGCAGGCATGGAAGCAATGATAACAAGATCTATTATGTTGTAATACTCTGCAAATGCAACCGTCGAAGTGCTCGGAAAGTACATCATCGAGCTTGATCGCCAAAATTAGATTATAATTTTGTGCTTCTGTGGATTATGTTGTACCAGTCCAAAGCGCCGCTTCGCGGCGCTTTGGACTGGCTGTGGTGTGGAGAGTTGTGATCAAAAATTAGAGCTCTTGAAAATTTAGCGAACCTTCTCCTCGCTAAATGTATGGCACAGATTCAAAAACGTGACGACCTCAAAGATTATCAACTCATGGATTTTCTCTGCGTTAGAATTTCGAATCTTTTCATCAAAAGTGGCAACAGGATTATGACTACTCCCTCCCAACTTCTTCTGCCTTCCTTTGCTCTGCAGATAATCGCTGTATAGCGTTTTGCTTCCCTCTCTCCTCCCCCCCCACCCTCAACTTCTTTTCATTCAGAAGCAAGCACCCATCCCATACCTAACAAAGCTTTATTAGCCACGTGCTCTTCCCACCCAAGGCTCTGTTTCCACACTGAATGATCTCCCAAGCTGCCTTAGAACCTCCACTCCCCCAAAAGTTCTTGCTCAGACTACTCTTATCTCTTTCCAAAATCAAATTAGCGAGAAAATTCAAACTAAAATTTTTGAAAATATTCAGCCAACATTCAAACTAACAAATCTAAAAGTTCTCAAATCCAAACGCTCCATTCCCTCTTTCTTTTCACAAAGTGTCTTTTTTGAAAACATCACAATTCCTCTTCCATTCAAGAAAAGTTACCAAAATCTTGATCATATGGGCTTTTCAAACTGCCCAGCATCCATAGTTGTTCCAAAATCTACTCAATCAGGTTATGTTATTGGTAGCAAGCTACTGAGTCAAATACTGAAGGGAGCTACTCAAAGTTTATGCTTTAGCTGCTCTCCTGAAGCTCCACTCCTTACAGAATTTTAAGGCTGTAATATATTCACATTTGAGGGGCATATAATACATAGAAACTGGTCTGGATAGACTGTTTTGGAGCTTTTTCGAAAATGCATTAGCAGAGAACTTTGAACAGAAAAATTTTCATAAATTGATTGTAGTAAAATTACCCATAAAATCAGTACAAAAGCATGTAAGACCAAAAGGCGCGGGTTTTTTTAGATATTTGAGGGACACAGGATAACTATGGACTAAAATGCGCTCTTCGACACGTTTTGAGTATGTTTGTGAGTACCTCTTGCATGGCATGTTACAATTCTCAAAGATGCTAAACATCTGATTTAAGAATTTGTACCAATCACTGACCTCTTGCACAGAGTCAACAATGTTTTCTAAGAGAATAAAATGACGCACTGTCCAACAAAGTGTTGCACGATAAAACTGTACGCAAATACTACTAAAAAACACAGAATAAAGCTGCTTTCGAGTGAGCAGATCAGTGTCGGCAATATTGAGAAGTAAAGCAACTGAAATTCTAAAGAATGCATTATTCTGCTAAAATACCTGGCAATTTTTTCGAATGACATAGGCATTGGGGTGAGGAAACATTTTAAGCACTCAAGAAATAAATTATGGGAGACCGCATTATTTTGCTGAAGTATCTGAATTTTTTGAGTAACTTATGGTGCATTCCATTTATACGCTCCAGAGTACAAATAGATAAGCATGAGATGTTAAAAAAACAACCAAATCAATCTTCTAGCAACAATTTCGGCGGCACTTGTTGGAACACAGGAAAGCATTCATACGATAGTCCTGAAGGAGTTCTTGCTCAAATCAAAGGATTAAACAACAAACTATCTAAAAACGGATTCGATGCAGTTTTCTGTGCGAACTTATCTGTTTTGGAACAAATTGATCTATTATTCGTGAATCATCTTAATGAGGTGTTTCTTGCAAAGTTATTGTGGGACAAAAGAATCTGTTTTACATTCATAGAATTTTATATCTAGATTTGCAATCTAGTAATGGTTGAAGGAATATGGAAACTTAAGAGAAATTGTGAGCTAACCTGTGAGATGTTTCAATATAATCGAACTCGAGGTCTGTTAAGCGATTGAAACTATACGAAAATTAGCTTGTCTGGCGACTTCTTGGGTTATGCCACTTGATCAATCTTGGGTTATGCCACTTGATCAATATTGTGATGGCACTTTTTGGGTTATGCCACTTGATCAACATCGTCTGAGACAGGCATCAGCCGCTAGCTCGGTACGCTCGCACCGGCACAGAACGATGGTCGGTTGTTTACACCTTTGGCGCGAGCGATGACGTCAGATGGGGGTGCTTGCGCTTTATATATAGTATGATTGTTTCTATATTGTTCTTGCATTGTTTGGCTGAATTACTATTGCTTTTGTCCGTATAAATATCCTGGCCGTCTGGCCATCAGCGGATCGGACGGCGGATTTATGCTTTAGACGTTTCATTTTCTCTCTCTTTGTAATTCTCTCTCTCTGAAGCCCCATAAGGGTTTCTTCCTCCATAGCCTCTTTTCTTATGTAATGTAGCTATCTTACAAGGGAAGGAAGGTTAGTCGAAGTGGCGTTTTGAAATGAGATGTATACTGCCTTGTAGAGCTTATAATGCTGATTCCAAATCTACCTTTGCTATCTGCTGCGGGCTTCTGGGCGAGCAGTTATGAAGTTTTCTGTGAGTAAAAATCTGAATGCAAGAGTAGGCTAAAATCAGTCCTAACTTTTTTTATCGGATCTAATTGGTAGTCGGGTCACTCTCGGTGCAACAAATATTCTTGATTCAAACATACCAATTCGCTGCTACCTCATTTGAACATTGGGAAAAGGTTACGACTGATTTTACCCTATTTTTGCATTTAGATTTTTACTCACAAAAACCTTCATAACTCCTCGCCCAGAAGCCCGCAGCAGACAGCAAAGGCAGATTTGGAATCAGCGTTCCAAGCTCTACAAGGCAGTATACACCACATTTCAAAATGCCACTTCGACCAACCTTCCTTCCCTTGTTAGTAGTAACCTAATAACTGTCGAAGTAGTAAATTGTATTTTGTAATTTTTAGGTAGTTAATTATTCAAATTATACGTGTATTGTGAATTCCCATGAGTGGAGTCGGAGCCGGACGGTTCAGCCGAGGCCCCTTTAGTACCGGACTCGCGTGATGCGGGACTGAGAAAAATGGGCGCGGCTGACAATCGCTTCGTAATACATTGAAGGTGGTATTGTGCCATCATCGATCCATTATGAAACCATTACGAAAAGTCAACGAATTTTTAGCAATTCTCCACATGGCGGCTCTACTACGGCTACTTTCTTGCAGCTGCTTCCTTCTCGTTAATCTCATTATCTCTGTCAATGATTTCACTTTTCACACTGATCGCCTTCAACCATACCGTAGTTTCAATGCGCTTTTTTGACCAGTATTTGGGACTGTTGGATGGCGCGGTTCACCGATCTACCAATCTTCAATGGCGGGAACAGAGAGGCCGATTCGACCTCTCAGCAGGCTATAAATACCGGTGGACACGGGGGAGCGGTCAGAGCATGAAGAGAGCGCTCCAGAGAGTTTAAAAGAGCCGTCGAAGAAAGGCGGACCTCCCCTCAGCTAAAGAGAAACTAGAGAACCCTGCTGAGTGGACCAAATCGGGTCAGGAGGACCCATATTCGTTGTTGAGTGTTCAAGTTGTTCAAGTTATTCTTGTTCATTGTTGCCATAGAGATAAATACCTTTATTTCAAATGTGTCTTTCTCAATCGATCCGGTTCAAACGTCAATACCACTAGACTACCCCCGTTACAGGACGAGTATGCAAAGATGAATTTTTTCAATCACTCACAGTGCAGATATCAATGTCCATGAAATGGTCTAGTCTAGGGAAAATGAGATACTAGTGACTAGACAAGTAGCCTATCATTAGAAGAAAAAAGAAGACGAGCAAAGGTTGAGATGCAAAAAAATCAAGCCCGATGAGCTTTTCTCCATGGATAACAGTATGACCGAGAATGAAGTGAGGCAAAGTAGAAAGCAATGAGCCTCGAATACGTCGTATTTCGTCGACAGAGGCTGTTTCCCAGATACGAGAATAGGTCCTAACTTAATTTAGAACAAACTTTGCAGTTTCTGGTGGCATGTCTGGGACCAGCTTTACGAGTTCTTGGTTCCCATACATCAGTGGCGGACTACGGGGGGAAAGGCCTCCCCCCCCCCCCCGAGAGTGGGTCGCGAAGTTTTTGAAATTTACTTACATGGGTTTTAAAAATGTGCAAAAGGACTTGTTCCTTGTAAAAAAAATTTCTAATTCCAAAAAGGGGGCGTGGCTGGCACCACGCCCTTTTTTGTAATTTCGGGTTAGGGGCCCACAAAAGTGTTGGGAAGGTACCAAAAATTTTTTTCGGAGTGCGTGGCTAACGCCACTCACCTTCAACTGAAAAAAATTCTGCCGCCCTCTCCCCCTCTCTTCCGGTCCAAAATCCTGGGACCGCCACTGCTATAAATATCAGCGCCAAACTTGGCACACATATGTTTTCGACACTCTTCTTCGTAGGCTACTTTCGCGACACTCCTTCTATTGATTCATCAATTTTGAAGAAAAATGGATCCTTATCAATGCATATCATACCGCCTCCAACATTTGTGTTGTGTTAACAAAAGCGGTAGAACTTATTTTTATTCCACGATGAGATGGGCGGTGAAGCAAAGTGATATGATTCGGGAGGTATCTGTCCTACGTTACTGCAGTAGAAAAAAGCCGAAATGCGGATAAGTTTGAGCCTTTGAAGTTCACGCTAGTCTTGCTCTGTTGAGCCAGTTGAAAACACGATGCGGGCGAAGCCGTGCATGCCAGCCATAACAAATGGCCACCATAGCTTGGTGGCCATTTGTTATGGCTGGCATAACAAATGGCCACCACAGCTTGGTATAAACTTTTAAAGAAAGGTGACTACTTAAGCGCTCACCTCTTCGGTTTCCTCATATTGCTCATGTATCATCATCCAATTCCACATATCAGCACACATACCGTATTCCCATTCAATGCAAAGATCTGGTTGACCATCAGAAAAAAGCACCATAATTTTGTCTTCAGTGGTTTCTTTCTAAATTCGAAGTCATGGATTCAAATATCCACAGAGATCGTACGCTCATCAGCATGATTGCAGTATCTGAAAGTATCGTCCCCTCCACAGTTGCTGCTACCCTTGGTCTGCATCTCAGACCTGCCACGTGTGGCTAACATGTTGGCAACGTGGCAACAACATGTTTGCAACATGCAGCAACATGTTGGCGTGGACAAAATGTTCTGCCAACATGTTGTGGCATGTTGCAAACACGTTGTTGCCATGTTGCCAACATGTTAGCTTCACGTGACAGGTCTGAGACGCAGACCAAGGGTAGCAGCAACTATGGAGGGGACGATATCTAGTATCTGAAAATAATTTTTTTCATTATCAGAGGGTACACTTTGACTGAACAAAAAAATAAAGCTTCAGCTAATGCACTATAGTTTCAAATTTACCGGAGTGATGCTAATCTCAAAGTTATCATCCAATTGGTACATCATGGTCACACACAGTGTATTTTTTAGTGACCCCTCTCTTTAATCGTTCGTACGAAAATCATGAAACAAGCAAATAAGCAGCAGACTTCCATGATAGTTCCATTCTCTAAGCCAAATCATAAGATTCCACTAAGTTAAGGTCATCGTTTCTTCTTCAATGGTGAAAATAGTACTTCATTTCATCACAAATGTAAAACCATCTAATCATTGTTTAAGACAAAAAGGTGCTCGGTTACCTTTTTATTTGAAACATGATGCGATAATTTTGTATATCAAGTGCAGTTAGGCAGATTATTTGGAAAGTTACTTTGAGAAGCGCACTGGACTACAGCTAGCGATTAGATAAAGTTATGGGAAAGTGCAAGGTTGAAGTCCGAAGCGCAAGTTTGATAAAGTGCGATAAAGGCAGTTAGAAACGAGAATAATAGGGGGTGCGATTCCTTTCACTAACATTGCTTTGGTTCATCTAAAATTGAGTGTAAACGCCCACGAGCATTGCTTTCAGTCGATCATCTCGTGGTTCCAATGAATATATGCTGGAAAGCCACTGATTACCTAGGTTATTAAAGCTCAACTAAGATGATGGTTTTGCCCTCATTACTACACTCCTGTTTCATTTGCAGAAGATAACTATTAAACGACTACTTCTTTCCAAATACTATCGTTCTTTCCACAGTTGCTGCTACACTTGGTCTGCGCCTCTGACCTGCGGCACGCGTAGCCAGTATATTGGCAACATGCAGCAAGTTGGCGCTGAGGGTGACAGCTAAAATGTTTTACCAGTATGTCGTTGCATGTTGCAAACATGTGTTGCACGTTGCCAACCCGTTGCCATACGTACCGCAGATCAGGAAGCAGACCAAAGCAAGAAAAGCAACTGCGGAAGGGATAGTACGTACAAATTCACTGGTCTTGATTACGACTTTTTCAGGAAATTCTAACGCATCACGATGTATCCTTTAATACCTTATAAAAACACAAAGGGCGCAGATTTTGAAGATTCTTGAGTTAAAAAAGTCCGTTCCTCAATCCCCACATCTCTTAGTTTGATAATCACACTTTTAAGGAAAACAGCTACCAATTTTTTATCTTATGTCAAAAACCAATCAATTTTCAAAACCAAATTTTTTTGGCTTTTGCACAAACGGCGTCACAAACACTTCTTCAAAATAGTTTACATAGGACTGCGTTTCACCTCAGTTTCATAAAGTACATAAGAAAATACGGGTGCGAATTTAGGTGCCTGTAGCGTTGGAAAAAGATTTAGCAAAAAAGATCTGAGTATCAAAACAAATGAGCGTTCCCTTCTCATATTCAGAAAGACTTTTTGAACGACTTTACAGAATGCCCCAATCGCCTTTACACCGATCCCTACTTCTGAGGAACCCGAGAAAATCGAGCAATTTGGCAGAGGGGTGTAATCGAACATGCTGATCACCCCCGTGGGGTGATCAGCATGCTCGATTACACCCCTCTGCCAAATTCCAGCCCCCTAGCTCAAATTTTTGCAGAAAATCGATAAAATCGACATCGATCGATAACGAAAAGTGGATGACACCCGCCGGGGCCCGAAGTGTATGTGTGCCAAGCTTGGTCCGGATCGGTTAAGAAATGGAATTTTTTATTCGGAACATACGGCGGAGCCGGGTAAGCCAGCTAGTGCATTATATAGTTTTCTGAAGCTTGCATCGTACTTGTAATAAGGGGAAACAGAGTAAAGGTGGTCATACGGAAGATGGTCATGGTATTACTAACCTCGAATCATTTATAACTTAATGTGTGAGATTGCGCACTATACTTTACTACCAACGGCATCCTTAATATAACTTTTTAGTGAAACATTTTCTAATCTGATAATTTGCAGAAATATACTGTAGTAATGAACATATATTCAACAAAAACAAAAAAGATCAAGGCATAAGGAGAAATCACTGAAAATGAGCAAGCTCTAGTTTTGTAGTTCGTCAGTTAGCGCACATGGTGTGCAATGCGCATATTAAGTTACGAATGACTCGAGGATATATAATTGAACTATCGCATGATATGATAATGTTGAGATTACTCTGGTCTAGGACCATGGAGCGGGTTGAATTCTTCACTCTTTCTCTTTCTTAAAAGTGTATGCTACAACGACGAGAAGTCCATTTTCAAATACTAGATCTTAAATCACGCTTAGCGTACGATTCACATATAAGTTGGGACTCGTGACCCCGACATTTTTGTAAATTTAAAATTATTGACTATCTCCTTCACTTGCCATCAAAGTAATTTGAAAGTACCCCAAGTTCACGCGTATAAGACGCACCTTTTTCGGTTTTCCAAGCATGCTCAGTCGCCTCCTCGTGTTTTGGAAAACGAGACTTATGCCGCAAGATACTCTTAGGGTTGTTTCATACTGCAGTCGCTGCAGCGAGGGCAGTCGATCGATCGATATCTTTTGCCCGCCCCAATATAAGTGCAGCTGCTGCAGCGACTGCAGTATGAAACAACCCTTAGGCAATAAACACAGTGTATATAGTTCTTTGGTTGCGAAGTCCTTCGCGTGTCTGCACTTTCCCATAACTTTTAGAAAAAAAATCTCCTGCTTCTTAGATGCGTGAAATTAGGGTGAATGACATTCTAAGCGCTACGAAATCTCACATCGCAGTCAATAAGCTGCAAGACTTCTTTTCTACGTAAAAGAAACTGGGTACTGCTTGCGAATATTCACGAGTATAGCAAATTCATTTCAAAGTAAAAAAAAAACTACTCGATTTCTGGCTTGTAGCGACATCGCGAATAAACTGCGAAGACTAATTTGTACTTATATCAGCGGCAAGGTAGAGGCACGTTATGAGCACATGGTATAACACTTGAATTCATGGCAGGCACAATGACTTCAAGTATTATGGCATATGCTCATAACGTCGAGCATTTGAAAAATAGAAAAGTTTCTTTTTTCCGGATGAGCTAAGATGCTGCAAAGATGCCTCGTAAACGCAGATCACCGAAGCAAAATGAGTAGAAAAGCGGATAAGCGCTTGTTTACTCTGTAGTTCAACGCAGCGTTTTTCTGATCGCATTGAACCACCGAGTAAATATTGTGGCTCACACTTCCACACGTCAAATCTTCTGGAAGCTAAAGAATACTTTGATGGATAATTATTCTCCTCCTATAGCTTTGGCCGGCTTCTTCTCAGCCTTTTTTAGAGTTTTCCAATTATTTTGGATAAATTCAACGAAAGCAAGACCGTTCTGCTTAACTAGCCGGTAAACACTCCTTGGCCAATTATTGGAATGATGAGTAAACTGCAGCATTTCTCAGAGCGACGGATAATTTTGGAAAATACTAGAAACCTCTTCTCCCATTCTTCTTATTTTGAGTAGAAAGGCAAGAATGGCTATTAAGCTTTTTCTAATTGAACGGATCTTGTCTTCTGGTGTCATTTTGTATTCGTTTTTAAAAATTTTCTCATGCTCATCATTTATCTAGTAGTAATATATCAAAGGAATAAATCGAATAGAATAATGGAAGAATGGGATATTTTATTTTTTTTGAAGCTCAAACCTTTCAAAGGAAAAATTGCAATAGGCATTGTCTGCTTAGCATTCTCAAAGCGTTTGCAAAGAATGTGAAAAAGTGCGCGATGCTTGGTGTGACCTCACCATTTTGAGAGAATCTGGAAAGTTGCATGCGCTTTGCTGTTTTACACTAGCCGCATGTCGATAGCTACACATCGCTGGGTAGCAAAATCGCAGCCAAGAAGCCATGCTAGTGAATATCTACTTTTGGAACGATCTGACGATGAGAATGCCCAAAAATATTTATTTTACCTCCAACATCTTCCTTCCCAAGAACATGGCGTGACCAAGCACAGTCCATGAAGGCTCATAATGTTCTTTTTCGGTTTTAGCCACAAAAGCGCTGAAACAGAAGGCTCTAGAGTACAGACTTAGTGACAGCTCTGAATCGCTTGTATTGCACAAGGCCTCAGAGTTCTAAATAAGGCTTGCAACCCGACAACGAGATGAAAAGTATAGAAGAATTCTTAAGGAAGAAGTTGTTTGAGGGGTGCGTCCATCGCTCGGATATTAGTGATCAACGATGCCGCAAATCGCGACGACAAAATTGCATGAGCTATACCCCAGCCTACGCTTGATTCCTCTGATGAGATTTGAATGTTCTATAATTATGGCTAAACCTCGTTTATTGTTACAAAAAACACTCACGTAAGCGCTTGACTGTCCCACTGGCCCATTTCTAGACCAATGTATGGATTGTCTGTTTGCATTACTGCGCCAGTTCTAGTACCTTTGATGTTCTTCGCCACCTCCTTCATAAAGCGAAGCTCCTAAAATACTGAAATAGCTTTCCTAAATTTTACTAGTACTTACCTGACGGACTCCTATCGTATCAACGCTTCCCGATTTATCAAACACGAACACAATTGATCTCTTCCTCTTGCTTTCCTTACAACTCAAGCAGATTATACCCTAAAATATGTAAACTTTTTTGAAATACGACCGACGATGTTAGAGGCTTACAGGCGGATAATGACCGTAAACGTCTGGGTTCCGTAGTCGCCCATCAGTTTCAGGATCGTCACACGCGCATTGCTTGGTTTTTGGATTGTATGTGGCGGCTCTATTACATGACTCTCCCTTTCGTAACGGGCCTCTGTTAGCCTCTTCTGGCCCACCTGTCGGTTAGAACAGATTGGTAAGTAAGATATATCGTGCCATATCTGGCACTTACTCATAAGTTACAGCAAGAACTGATTTTTAGCTGTACTGGACAGACAGTAAAAACAGTAAAAATCAACGATACAAAGGTACAGATCTAAAGCTTTTGAAAGAACTTTAATTTTGAATGGAATGGTTAGTATAGGACGATCAAAGGGGTCAACTATAAAGAACTCAGGCTCTTGGCTGGGTTCATACTATTCCCAAGTTCCGGAACTGTTCCCGCACAGTTCCCGCACTGTACTGGAACGTTACAAAGTGTGCTGCATGCGCTGCAACCGCCCCGGACGCATTTTAAACGATGGGAGTTGGAGAATAATGATTGTTTTCAACGGGTTTTCTTCAAGATTCTCCTCATATTGGCCTTATTCCTCTACCCCGCTTCCCCTTTTGACCAGCAGAACGTCGAACTCGGAACGGGATTGAAGAATGAGTGCTTTTCTTCTCTGCACATCCAACTGTCTGTTCTTGCGCTTGTCCATTCTCGCTTCGTTTTCGTTTTGCTCAAACTTATCCCATTTGTTTCGAGAAGCCGCCGCGTAGTTTTCGCGGGCATTTGTGTCGAATTAGAATGTGCAGCATTTTGATGCGAGAATGGGAACTTTGCTTTTGTTTTCGGATGATTTTCGTTCTTGGCATTTTCATCCCCTTTCCTTTTCCCATATCGTTGCTTCTCCGCTCTTTCTTCTACCCGTTTCTCCTTGCAATGAGGAAAACTGTGAACTTGAAGCGGGGTTGAGGATTGAACAGTGTTCTGTTTCATGTATCCTGGAGGTGGGCCCTCGTGGGCTTCTCCATTCTCTCTTTGTTATTGCTGCTCAGAACTACTCCATTTGTTGCAGCAAGCTTCTACGTAGTTTCCACAGCCTCCTGCCATGAATTAGGGCGTGCGAGCATTTCTAAAATTGCATAAGTTGGGATTTTATCTTGTTATTTGATGAGTTTCGTCTATCGGCGATCTTCCCTTTCCTTATTCCATATCGTTGCTTCTCCGTTCTTTCTTCTATCCCGCTTCCCTAGCGATGAAAAAAACTGCGAACTTGAAGCGTGATTGAATGACCTTGTTCTGTTCAATGTATCCGGGCAGATGGGTCTTCGTGCGCTCGTTCGTTTCTTCCATTCTTTCAGACCTACTTCATGTGTTTTAGAGACCTGTTTATGTCCCTGTCCATACAGATGCGAGACTACGCAGCGCCTTCCTAGAGCACATAAAGTAAGTCTGAACAAAAATAGCGAAGAGAGAATGGACGAGCGCACGAAGGCTCATCTTCCCGGACACATCAAGCAGAACAGCGTTCAATCCTCAACCCGCTTCAAGTTCACAGCTTTTCTCATCACAAGAAGAAGCGAGGTAAAACAATAAGGCCAAAATGAGAGAAATCTGGAAGAAAACCGTCGAAAAAGGTCCAAATTCTCTAAGTCCCGCTGTTCAAAAAGCGTGCGGGCGGCTGCAGCGCATGCAGCGCAGTTCCGGAACAGTTCCAGCACAGTGGGGAACTATGCGGGAACAGTTCCAAAACATGGGAATCAGTATGAACCCAGCTTTTGCTTGCAAACGATACGCTATCTTTTGTAACTGCGAAAAGAATTAGGATAAAACACGCGGTGCATAGCAGCACTGACAATGCACATGCTGCTGATATGCTTGCTAAGTGTCATCGTAAGTTTTTCATAATCCACGTTCTTTTCCTCGAAGCTTTACAGACATTCCATGCTCTTATCGTTTTAGTACCTGTCGTGCATAAAACAGATCGCCGTCCCATTGCCGGTATGTCTATATATCCTGTCTTCATCATCAAAGCTGTGATTCTCGGCAAATCGGCACACATGTTGTCTGGATATGTGTTTTTCCAGTGCTCTGTTTTAATCTCCTAAAAATCATGACTTATAAGAAGCCGCTAATTTGTCGGTCTGTAAGTCTGTCTGTTACGAAATTACAGTGAGGAATGATTTACATTGCTTAAATGCATGTGAGAGTTGCAAAGCAAGTTCAGTTCATTTTTGTAATTCTTTGCGGTCTCCTCCATCAAAGAATGATGAAGGCCAAGATCATTACGTAAGTTTACCTATACCATGATGGCCAGTTTACCTATACCATGATGAACCTCTGCGAAGCAGAGGTGAAGCACTGGTGATTTGATAATTGAGTTACAAATTTTTTTCTGTTTTTTTTGAGTGAGCATGAGACATCTACCACCCGTAAAATCAGCAGGGTCAAGCTTGGGATGTGGCACGTTACAATGAGGTCAAAATCAACTAAAAAACAGATTGAACTTACATTGCTAGGTAGGGTAGCACAAACTCTTAGTAAAACCTGTTAAACATGTAGATGACACGTCAAAATTTTTTCGACAAGTGGCAGAAGGTTGACACTCCTTTCTGTGAAGCTGGGACAAAATACGGTACAAGGTTACAAGCAGTATCTTCTTTGAAAAAAGGGGGTCCGGATAACGGAAAAGTACCGTGAAAACAGCTTGGCCTCTTTTTGTGAAAATTTCAAAATTTTGGTTGTCTCGATTTCTAAACGAGAAAACAATTCAGGGACGGTACATATGAGTGTATGATGTAGTGTGCAATTTTTTGAGCGAATTGGAGGTTCGTAAGACTTTTTTGAGCGAAGATATGAATTTTTCGCAATTGAGTCTTTAGTACGACTCACATTTTGGATGCAAACTTAAAGTAGGTCGAAGTTGGGGCGAACTTTTGCAAACCGTTATGTAGGGCTTGCTTTGCTCTATCGAATGGTGCCCTGGACCCTTATTGAAAATGTAAAATGCATGACTTATCGCCGTAGAAATTTGGAGTGTCTCAGGACTTATGTTACAACCTAATACTAGATTTTTGTCCTTTCGTCGAAACCCTTCCATCAACAACAAAATACTAGAATCAAATTTTGCAGAATGCAGTTAGTCATGACGCAAACCGTGCAAAATCAAAAGTCGAGAGAGCACACGACTTTAAAATGAATGAAGTAACATTTGGTCAACGGTGAAAGCTAAAAGAGAAAAAAGATTGCAAACTCTGAAAGGATACCGGAGAACACGAACGGGCAGCAGATATGGAAATACATTGATAAAGAAGGTGTGCATGAGTTTATTCTCACTGCGACTGCAGCGGCGTGCTGCGGCGTAGCATGAAGGAACCCGTACAGTTCGTTATTTTAAATTTCGTAATTTCCAGTTGCTAAAAGCACGACCACTTACGAAAGTGACAAATAAGATTTCAGCTGGCTTCTAACGTCAAAGTTTGACGGTTATGATATAAATAGAGTATATATTCGATATGAGTGAATGGGTGTTTTGTCTTGTCAAGAAGAAGCAGCTAATTTCCTTTGAACTGAAATTAACCATGCTTGAAAATGGCTACTTCACTTGAATTGCCCAATATTAGGAACCCTCAACATTCGCAAAACTTGGTCCACAGGGGTTATTTGACGTGTTCATTGCAAAAATGTACTCATTGTTATACTTACAATAAGTAGACGATTATGCTGTGGGAAGGGGATGGAAAGGGTCTGCTAAATCAGTACTTAAAGGCAGCGTCCAGGCACATCTAGCCCTATGACGATTTTACGTGGAAAGTAATTTTGGGGCCCTAACTAAGGCACTGCCCAAGCGGCAGCGCAGGTGACTCACTAACGGTTGACATATGCGCCTCCGAACTGGACCCCAGAATCGTACTCGCATGGATTCATGGCAGTTTCGCGCGAGGACCCACGCGCTGCGTCATGAATCCGTGAAAAATACGATCTCGGGGTCCAGTTTTGAAGGGAATATCTCAGCCGTTAGAGCACTGCCTAAGCTGCGGGTTGAGCAGTGGCTTAGTTAGGGCCCCAAAATTACTAACCACGTGAGATCCCACGTGTCCAGAGTTGCCTGGACGCTGCCTTCAAGGGGCGATGTCTGACGATCGTGTGCCATAGCTCTTACTCGACCCTAAAGATAAGCTTGAGTTGCTTACAAATCTATCTCCATTCTTGTCGTAATAACTCCAGTATTTTTTATTAATCGCGAAAAATCTCTCCTTTTCGCACTTTTCCGCCTCCATAGAAAACGTTGGTGACCTTCCTTTTGGGACACGGAAAGATGAGTATCGAAACTGAAGATAAGTGTGTAGAGCGCTTGGTTTTTAGAGCTAATTGTACCAACAACCTTTTCCATCACTTTATCGAATTCATTAACGTTCAGAAAGTCATTACGAGAAGCAACAAAACCTTTTGGAAGTGCCTGAATGCGGGTGCTTGATTAAGCGCAAAGCCGTTTCTCAAAAAAGTTTTCAGAACCACCAACATAGCATGCATTGTGAAGGTTCTTTACATTGGCTTCAAAATGCTCTGCTTGCACTGCAAATAGCAATCCAAAATTCGTATAAATGCGCTCATTTCCGTCTTTGTTAACGGTCACTTCCAAAGGAATACCCAGCTCCTCCAAGAATTCCTTCAAACTCAGTTGTGCTGAAAATGATCAGTCTGATGGAAAGATTCTTCACTTACAAATAGGACACTACTAATAACAGCAAACTCGTATCACACACTTTCGTCGTAAGGCTCGGCTTTTCTGGAGCAGATGTATGGCATTTGCAACCCTTCAGTCCCATAGTAAGCACAGCCTTTTTTGGTCCCATCTCTCGCACCTTGTGTTAAACGCACGAAGATAGGTTTACCTTCAGTAGTATTAAGACCTGGAAAGTATTTTTTGGACTTTGCCTAACACTGCAGACAAAATCGGCGCAAAACTGCACGCGCCCGAAAAGGAGAGAATCGATGAAAAGGAATCGAATAAATTGATGATTTTGGGGAGGAAAACAAAAGAAAACAAGTTCTTCTCTTTTTTGTAAACTTTACTGATTTTTTAGAGCTGTCTAAAACGAGGACTCATTTGTTCATTTCACTAAATTCACGCTGCAACTTTCGTTTTTTCGTAAAATTTTCGTCACATAATGTGTTTTTTATCCGTGCATTTGCTAGGCGAAATCCTTGATAGCGGTCATCATCGATTGCGATAGTGGCCGCTTCAAAGATTGCCCGGCGATGCAGCAAAAGTCGTATCGCCCAAAGGAGTCGAACCACGGCCGCACACGTGTAAGTCCAATCGCTTACCCTTTTGACCAAACCGGTTCAAGTGGTCACTTTTTCAGAACACACTTGATTATAATGTCTAGGAAGCAATCCACATCCAGATCAAGAGCTCACTGGATGTTAGACTGAGGCGCGATGAAATCAACTACGGTCCGCCTCAAGGGAGCTGCCTTGATGGGGGGGGGGTTTACTACGGGCCATTAATTAATCTATTCTGTAATCAACTTTTTCTTTTCCGATGCTTTCTGTGGCCATATTCCTGTTAGTAGGTAGACCACCTCCTACACAAAAACCTCCGCCGCTGGGCTAGCTTATCCAGCAAAGGCGTTGACGTCAGCAGGATACCTACCGACGGTTATTCAAAGCGTTTTCACGGGCACCTTCGTTGGGTTATGTAGTTCAGCAGAATTGTTTTATGCCAGCAACGCGCTCAAGGCGTAGGTTTTGTTTTTGGTATGTTATCTAAAAAATCTAACAGGAAATCCAACAATATGCTTACATTTTTTGGGCATTTTGCTCACGAACCGGACTGTTACAAAAGTGAGCCTAGAGTAAGCCCAGAGTCTGTTTTCTTAAATCCATACTACAATTCAAGATACTTCCATATTTTCACGTTTTACGACAAAGAACATTGCTTTTCCTAGCCATAATCGAACGTGTTCTATAAATGACTGTCAGTAATGCTGTCGTTTTCAATGCCATTGTTTGATCATAAATTTGCAACAAGGTCCAATGCCTTTGACATACTTGCTAGAATAGAAGTGGCACTTTTCAGAATTGGCGCCCATAATGCTGCGGATGGATCTTACACGCCTCAACTAATCGCATACCTCATTTTTGAACGTGTAGGAAGACCTACTTGAGGTACACTTCTTGCCAGAGTATCAAGTAATAAACCACGATGAACCACAGGCCGAAAGTTGGACTTTACTGCAAATCTCAGTATATTGCCAACTCAACTGTTGTTATCAGACCCATCTTTAGCAATCTCAGATAATCGCCGGGGGCAGGCGGTTCGCAAATTCGCGCTTTGTTGCAGGCGGTCAGAAGAATTTTGGAACGTGGCCGAACCTCCAGCAAACGGTACTTCCTTTACTGTCGTATTTTCTACCAGCGGGCAGCAATACAAAATTTTCTGCAAGCCCTCGCCAAATAATCCCTTTCAACGAGCGCGAGCCAAACTTACAGCAGGCGCTCGGACTCGTTTTACGCAGTTTCGGGCGTACTTGAGCAAAGGTAAAACTCTACGTAACAGAGGTGTCATCGATGTTTCGATTACCCAGTTTGAAGTATTAGGTTGATGCAAAAGTAATGGCCGATTTGCGAATTCTCATTTTGACGTGTTATAACTTTCTGAAAGATTCCATTTCTGAATGCGGTAAAGACCCCCAAAAGCAGCAAACCTTTCCCGAAACAGCGCATACTCAATTATGCTCAAACCATAAACGGGAAGAGAAATACGGACTAAAAGACAAAAAAGGTTCTTCTGCTAGAACCTTGTTTTTGACAATTTATAACTTCCTTCAAAATTTCTGAGTATGAATGATAAATGGCCTATCTTGTAGCCGCAAACCAGTAGTACAAAACACAATAAAAAGAATTCGGACAAAAAATGCGAAAAAAAAATGAAATTTAAAATTTCTCAATTTTTTCAACATTTTTTCCTTGTGCCTTAAAGTCCGGAATATAGAATTTTCTGATTTTTTACGTACTAAACAGCTGGATGTTTTCGCAAAAACTGCTAATAATTGTCCTAGCCCTTTGCTTACAGAATTGAGGGAAGCTTCGGTGATTAAATCCCTCAAACGAATTTTATGGGTCATAAAATGACCGCAACAGCTACCCATATTTAGGCGCCGATATCTCAGTCTGGATAACTTCAAAGAATACAATCAAGTATGCATAATGTAAACAATTTCTATTACATACAATAGCCAGATTTTCGAAAAAAATCCCATTGATACGCGCTTGAATTTCTGGCCGGGAAAGTGAATGCAGCGAAATTCTGAATTTGGATGCAATTATTTGAAGCTCAGTAACTTTATAAGAGATGAGGATGAGAGCCCGTTTCAAGAACCATTAGATAGAGCATGAAAACAGCTTTGCGATGGTATACTACATTTATTGTAAAGAAGAAGCATTGATGAAAAAAAGTTGCCCTGAAAAAAGGTTTGGAAAATCGGCCATTGCTTTTGCATCAACCTAATACTTTCTCTCAGCGAAAGGTTCCTACAGGCTGTGCAGCTCTTCACAAAGGACCATGTGGCCCCCAATAATTTCGCATATTTTCGCGGAAGGTCGCGAGAATGCGGCCACTGCGCCGCAACTAATCTACGAAAAAACCGCAATGGTTCTCCGAACATTCGTTTGAAAATTCGCCAAGATTCTTCCAGTTATCTGCAAGCGGACCGCAAGAAATCAGCGAACTGTATTTCCGGTGCCACTTGCCCAAAAATCGCATGGCCGCCTATCCCCGACAATTATCTGGGATGTTGGGCTAAATAATCGGCACTTTCAAGTGTTTTCACTTTGCAAGAGAAATGGCTACAAAAGACGGCGGGGGGCTGGGAACCATCAGGGGACCAAACAAGAAACTGAAACTTGCTGCTTGTAGAACTTCTCTCTCTCTCTTACACAATACTAGCTGGTCTACCCGCCTTTGCGTAAAATTATAGGCGACAAACCTCAAAGACGCACTGCCGATGAATAGGTAACACAGTTAAGTAGCGTAGCGCTTGTTGCTAATATAAGAATCATTTTTTATGGTGCTTTGCCGCTACTGGCTACTCCATTCCCACTTACATCGCTTGACATTATTTTTTGTGGAGTGCGATGCTTTGAACTTGCGCAGGCTCGACTACGACAAGGGATCTCGTTGTTTTTGCTATATGTTATGTATGTTGTATGCAGCGCAAACAGATATCTTCAAAACCTTCTCTTACATTTTATAATACATGACAAAAATCTTGCCCGGACGCTGCCTTTGAATGGTGATAGACACTTGCGGATAACTGGACCCAGTCTTGAAGCATTGAATTTAAGATATGAAGCTTTCTTTTAGGCTGCGCTCTCCTTCAAAAGAAAATGTTGATTTTCTGAAAACCTAGAAGTTTTTTTGTACTTGTTTAATTATATGCCACATATGATGTCGTAGTGTTCCGTGTGCTATAGATGATTCATTCTTATTATGTTGTGAAAGAAATTTGGCTCTCATTAGGCGTGGCTTGACTTAATTGCGTTTGTGCATGTCAGTCGTGTAGCAACTTGTTGAAGGGGTGCGTATATGCATATGAACATGTGCCTATTTACTACACCATTTGCGTATATCCCTAAAATGGTTTTCAGCGTATCATTCTACCATGTACCGCCGTAAGTGTCGCTCAGACATTTGTATCAGACTTGTCCATGCAAAGTCTGTAGCCAACATTCAAAAAGTTTTGAAAGCCCAAAAAATAGAGGAAAAATTGGATTTTCTTCCGAAATTTTCTAAGAAGCGTCCTATGAAGCTTACGCTAATATTTTTCACAGAGACGTTCATGCTAGAGCTCCTTTTCTTTTTGGCCAGTGTTTGAGAAGGCGAAAGATTCTTATCAAAGCAATCGTTCTAACGAACGAAATTCTGTACTAAAAAGCTTGTAAAGCAGAGCGCTAAATTGTTTTTAAGAGGAGCTACTATCCGCTGTTTATTAAAATTCCTACCCTTTTTCAGATGTGCCATATCGATATTTCTCGGAAACTAACTCTTGTAAGAAGTCAAAAATCTAAGTTTTACTTCCAAGCTTTGTAGAGTAAAATCTTTAGATGCTCGGCAGCGCTTGAAAATAGTGGATTTCTTTTCCTTTTTTATTGCCAACCAAGCAAAGAAAACACAGCATGTGTACGTACACGTGTCCGATGTGGAGAGTATGCGTAAGCGAATGGAAGATGCTCAAAAGTTTTTTGTACGAAAATGTGGTCCAATACTGATTTGGCAGGAACTTTCGTATTCGTCTTAGCCATGGTAGAAAATAGTTTGTAGAGTGCAAAAAAAGCCTACATACCTATTTTCATAGCATTGGGATGAAGCTTTGGTTTGAGAACACGAGCACTATCGCCTGAGTTTCCTACCCATGTAGCGTGCAGTTTTCTGAAGATGACTGAAAAAGTGTGACCCAATTATAATGCATATATATTTCTGTAACATATTCCACAACTGTCATAAAATAATTGATAAACAATACAAAAATGAGTGTAGCATTGTACCAGAATAACTGCTTCTCGAAGAGAACAATTATCAGGTCATCCTGTTTATCTTTTCATCTGGCCTTGTCACTATAGGGCTCTACGTGATCGCTTGAGTCGGTGAGTTTGCGGCCACTGCACACGCAGGATGCTACAAGGCCCACAATTTTAACAGTTCCGCACTTTTTAACGTTTCAGGTAACTGGAAGCTGACAGCTGAGAGCAGAAGAGCGTATGAAAGGGAACAGGTGACTGAGAAAGCTTATTGCACATGCAATGGCTGCAAACTGATCTACTGTCGCGATCGCGCGGAGCCCTATATTACATAGCTCTTAAAGCGTGTTTCATCGAAAAGGCGCTATATGCTTACTATGTGCACTGAGAGTTCAAAAGCGGTGGCTTGCAGAAATGGACCCATCCCAAATTTTGGTAGTATTGCATAGTTTACTCAAGTGCACCGTAGGTCACTACCGCCTCCAGACACATGCACCAAATCCAAGAAACGGGTTTTCAAATTTCTACCATTGGCAACCCTTTCGTACGCGGGCGTGCCTTGGAACTTCGATGCATACTTCCAGATTTGACGCGTGGATTAAAGAATGGGAGTGGGCCTCGGTGAACTTAGTTTGTCTTTAGTTCGGCATCATCAAAATCACTCTGGCAAGTGTCCATTTTGCAGAGCCACTGACTTCGAAAGGAGCGTGCGGTAGAATTGGCTCAGCTTAGAAGTTACGAGGTGCAGCCCCCTTCAGTTAAAGCGAATATCTGCTCAGAAAATGAAAAAAGCTAAAACACAGTTCAGCAACGGCTTTGCCGATACCATGTAGCTCCCCTCACTGTGCACAAAGTTTGCGTTTGCAGGCTGACTGGTGGGACACGTTCTCATGTGGTCTGCAAGCATGTACTGTGTATCAAATGCACTCCACAATTAACGCTAAAGCACTCAAATACAGTCAAGTGATATTTTCCAAGAAACAGTGTTCTGTTTGACAAATTGTAATTACTTTACATTTGAAGCGACAATGAAAAGTTTTGAGAATGACAAAAACATAAGAGCCGAAATTGTGCCCTGACGCTGCCTTGTCAAAATTGATGTGCTTGAAAAAATTGATGTTGCCTCTTGATTCCTTGTGACGTCAGACAAAAGTGTCAGTATGTCACTTTTGCGATTTATTCATGTCTTCTTGTGATTCGATTGATCATCGTAAATCCTTTTACAGTTTAACAAAATGAAAATATTATGTTTCTGATGCTTAAGAAGTTGTGGTTTACGATCAACGTCATTTCACTAGCTGCTTTATCTATTTCGTTGCAGTAGTGAGGATTACGTCGGAACTGCGAACTCAAAAGCATTGTATAGGTTGCTCCTTGATCTCGTTTTACATCGTTTCTCCTTTTTAAATTATGGGAAACATCTTTTGTGAGATTATTTTGAAAACGTGAGCATGTGCTTGGCCCTGATTCCATCCGTTGCAAGCCGCTAGTGTACGATGAACAAACTAAATAGCGCTTTCGTGCAGTATTTTGTAGCTTTCTAGGGTATATTCGCAAGTCGAAGTGGGAGAAATTTTGGTACTTTTCCGTTATCCGGACCCATTTCTTCAAAGGGCTCTCATAAAACAAGTTCTTTAGTCTAAGAATAATTTTTCATAGATTCTACAAAGACTGCCTCCCCGCCACGTGTCAGGAAAAATTTGACACGTTTTAGCCCATTTCGACTTGTTTTTTTTTTTTTCGAATTCATTTCGATGAGGTAAAAAAACAATTCTGAGCACCTAAAAGCCTTTCAGCTGTTTTCTATAAAAGCAAAACTGTCTAGAACCTTGTCGCGGAACATCTTGATTGCTTTCAGCAAGAAATTAAATTTGTCTTTCTCTTCAAACTTTTGACCATGCTAATTTAGCCAGGAGAGACTATAAATGATGGCTTGCAGTATCGCGGTGCTGCTTGTTACGCCGCTTGGATGATGGAATCCTAGCGCACTTCTCCATTCTGGGCAGGTCTAATATGTTCAGTGATAACAGGAAGATGTTATTATTATAACAATGTTGATTCAGAAATTGTTTGATTGAAAATGGGGTCATTGTTGACTAGAATCCAGATTGAGCTTATGCCGCTAGTAGTGCAACATAAACCCTTGGTAAAACCTGTTAAACATGTAGATGACATGTCAAATTTTTTTGACACGTGGCAAAATGTTGACATTCCTTCCTATGAAATTGAGACCAAATATGGTGCAAGGTCAGAAGAAATATCCTTCTTTGAAAAATTGGGTCCGGATAACGGAAAAGTACCGAAATTTTGATAAGGTGCATACTGTAAGAATTCTCGCAGTAGACCAAGTACATATGCTTTTTCTGTATCTCTAAAGTCATCTGTAAAGTTATAGAAGCTAGATTTGGCAGGAGTACAAGGCCTCCAAGTACGGGTAGCGCACAACGCAGGTAGACATAGCGCAGTGGCAGGTGTACCGGACTAATAACCTAAAATTCAAAGTTTTGAACTGTTCCGCCTGATATTTTTGCAATTTATCCTCAGTATATTGTTTGTGATATACAGATCCTTATGTCTTTAGAATGCTAGTAAAACTTTGCAAACTTCCGAAAAACTTCTTTTAAAATTTACTTGTCAAGCTCATTTTGAAAATTGAGTGTATTTAGTGATAGAGACTAAGACAAGAGAAAAGGAACAAGAATTGGAAGTACAGGTGTAACGATTAGATGCTTATAAGGATAGAGGAACGTTTTCACTGTTGCAAACTCGCGCCTCATTCACTACGCCTTTTGCGAGTGACTCCTGTGTGCTTCACCACTTTTATCATTGCCTTCCGCAACTGCTCACCGGCTAAAACAGTCTCGTTCATCAAATCGAGCTTGACTTGCAAGAAAAATGATTTCTTTAACCTTCAGATCTACAGTCCACACACTTATTAATGCGTTGTGCGCCTGCTCCTCATTGTGCGGCTACCTATATAGTCGAGTCTGACGCCCGTAATTTCGCGTAGAGGACCATTCAGCAGAAGTAGAGAGCGGATATGCTAACAAGGGAAGGACACTAACTTAGACTCGCCTTTTGAGAGTGACTGTTTAGCGTTATTCCGAAGCGAAATATGCGCTTGCTGTTGTGATTAAGGCCCTCGCCAGAGTGTCGAAGCCACGCCAACACTGCGCCGGCGCCAAGCTAGCGCCGAGCTTTCCCAGCGCTTCGAGCAATACAGTGCATTTCGTTCGGGCCGGGAAGCTGACCCTATGCCTGCAAAGCGCTACCGGAGCTTTTGACAGAGATTTTAATTAGTAGTCGGTGCATTTACCTGGCTGAGCACTAAGAAGGTTAGCCCCGCCCGAAATGCACGTGTATCGATCGGGAGACATCAAGGACATCTCGGCGCTAGCTCTCCGCTGGCTCGGCACTGACGCAGCGCTAGCGTTGCCTCGGCACTCTGGCGAGAGCCTAATCAACAAAATTACGGATATCGTAAAACGGCGTGTAGATAAGAATCTGCTTGAAAAAAATGCTAGGATGTTACTAACATCAGATCAATCCTTTCGATTTTGAAAGGGAGCATTATACAATTACAAAGCCACCCGCCGACACCGTAGCATCGTAGCTTGAAAAGCATGAAAACCCTTTGCAGAAAGAAGGCCATAATTTGCTTCAGAGTAAAGCTAAGCAGCTAGGAACAGCATTTTTGAAATCAGCGTTCCAATCTGATTCCAAATATATGTGTATTATCTCGACAGGCGAAGCTAAGTTAATATACTTCCCTTGTAAGCTACTACGGGGTTTCAACGTTAGGCTGGGTTCATACTGATTCCCATGTTCCGGAACTGTTCATACACAGTTCCCGCACTGTGCTGGAACTGTTCCGGAACTATGCTGCATGCGCTGCAGCCGCCCCGCACGTTTTTTGAACACCTGGACTTGGAGAATTTTGACCTTTTTCGACGGTTTTTCTTCCAAATTTCTCTCATTTTGGCCTTATTCTTCTACCTCGCTTTTTTTGTGATGAGAAAAGCAGTGAATTTGAAGCGGTGTTGAGGATTGAACGCTGTTCTGCTCCATGTGTCCGGGAAGATGGGCCTTCGTGCGCTCGTCCATTCTCTCTTCGCTATTTTTGTTCAGACCTACTTTATGTGTTCTAGGAAGGCGCTGCGTAGTCTCGCATCTGTATGGACAGGGACATAAACAGGTCTCTCAAACACATGAAGTAGGTCTGAACAAGAATGGAAGAGAAAACGAACGAGCGCACGAAGACCCATCTGCCCGGATACATGGATTAAAACAAGGTCATTCAATCACGCTTCAAGTTCGCAGCTTTTCTCATCACTAGGGAAGCGGGATAGAAGAAAGAACGGAGAAGCAACGAGAAAAAGAAAAGGGGCTGAGGATGTCCAAAAACAAAACTCGTTTAGAAAACAAAAGAAAAGTCTCAAGTTATGCAATTTCAGAATTGCCCGCACTCCCTGATTCGTGGCAGATGGCTATAAAAACTACGCAGCGGCTTCCTGGAACAAATAGAATAGGCCTGTGTAAAAGTAAAGAGAAGAGAAAATGGACGAGCACAAGAACACACTTTTGTCGCATACGGCCAAAATGAGCGAGATCTGGAAGAAAAACCGTTGGAAACGGTCAAAATTCTCCAATTCTTGCCATTCAAAACGCGTGCGGGCGGCTGCAACACAGCTCCGGAACAGTTTCAGCCAGTGCGGGAATTGTGCGGGAAAGTTCCGGAACAAATCATTATGAACCCAGCCTTATGCAGCTTATTGAAATCGGCCAATTCATCTTGACCTATCCTTTGTCAGTATCGCTAGTCGCTATCAAGTCAGTTACGCACTTCAACGACAGATTGATGAGTCTGTGATCTGATCTCGCGATCTGACAACAATTTGGCACATGCCTCCAAATCTAACATTGCAGATTAAAAATACTAAGTGTGTATGGCTTCAGTGAGTCTTCTTTCTTCTGTACTTTCAGAATGCGCTTACGACAGGTGGACGTTTGCCAAATCGCGCTGTGACTGAAATCGCGTGGGGGCCAGGGTCTCAAAATGCGTTTCCTTACCAGCAATCCATTTTGCTTCATCTTTTCCTTCAACGACGTGTAGGTTGTATCCTTTTGGACACGGTGTGATATTGAAAAATTTGCCTTTACGTTCCACCACTATTAAACAATTATCGTAGAGTTCTTGCTCCTCATCATCACAAGCGAAACCTCTTTCTGGAAAAAAATTGTTTTTTTGACTATAACGAATAAAATTGTGTTGGTACTACTGTGCTGCTACGCCTGTGGTTTTTGTAGCTTAAAGGCATTGTCCACCCAGATTTTTAACTTCCACATTTTTGTCGTTTCAGAGCCTTCTCATGATTCCGAATGCGAAGTCGAGAATACGCGAAAACCCCGACAATCCCCGTTCCGGAGGACTCACAGACCGGCCTCCCGAAACGTTGATTGGATGGGCGCGCACAAATGGGCGTGCATGGATGGGGAGGGCGGACATTCGCCACAACACACTCGCCATTAATTTTTTTTGGATGGGGGTCCTCGTGCATCTTCGCTATTCCGAAGCGATTTTCTCGCTTCCGAAGCGGCATTGCGCTGCGACTTGGGCATTGGATTGATAGGGGACCCTAATATAATATACTGCCGAAAGCTCAACACCCTCAACTTAGGGTGGAAGTGCCTTTAAACCTCTGGTCTGAGAAAGTAGATCAAACCAGGGCACGGCACGAGGTGGGCAAATGGTTTTTCAAAACGAATTCCCCTTTGATTCCAAAAATTTTTTACGAATATCCCCTTGAGCCAAAAAACGATGTTTTCTGCTTGTGCAACGCAGGCACCGGCCAAACTTGCTCAAAGCGCCCAAAAGCGCTTAAATTATTCTATTCTCTCTTCACCTTCCTCGCTTCACACGTCCACGCTAGCCTAAAGGTCAGCAAGTTAACATGCTATCGAAAAGTATGTTAAGAGAGATGAGAAATATGAAGAGAGACCAAAAAGGTATGGGCGCTTTCGAGCGCTTTTGGGCGAAGCCTGCGGTGCTGAATACTTTACCAAAAAATAAACTATCCACTGACATTTAGAAAGAAAACAAAACATCAAAACGACGTTAAAATAGCTGTCCTACAAGATAATACAAGGAGAAACATGAGAAACTGGTTATAGGACTGAGTGACGCGGTTCCCGCGCATATTGATCGATTGGGGCGCGCTTTCCTCAGTAAGAAAGGGTGCCGCTGATCCTATTTTGACTATAGTACAGAGGAGAGGGGGAGTTTTGAAACCAAAATTCAACCATAGAGTAAAGTTTAGGTGTAGAAGAGATTTATGTAAAAAATTTTGAAAAATTATGTGAGACGGAAGTTTTGCCCACCTCAGGTGGGCATTAGGTGGGCAATTGCCCACCTAGTTTGGAAAAAAGTTGGGCACGCTTTTCATTCACATAAATTTTTCATAATTTTTCATACATTGTCCCTTAGTCCTACTGCGCGTATACGCTCCACGTCTCGCGCGATTTCGTTTCCTCTGCGTTGCAAACGAGCCATTTTTCCATTTTCTTGATAGTGGGAAATTTCAAGATAGAAGCTTGCCACAACCTTCAGTCACATAATTTTTCAATGAAACTTCTAAATTAAGCCCTGTAGGCCCGTGTTCATGCACCTACCAAGTTTCATACCGTATGGTCATCTGTGCGCTGCAAACGAGCCATTTGAATTCACTTTTTCGTTTACCAGTTTTGCAAAATTTTTGGAAAAAATGCTTATTACATCTCCCATTCATATAAGTTTTTTATAATATTTCATACTTTGTTTCTCCTAGCCTCTCTTCGTTAGCTTACGTAAGGTGCTATATCGTTACGCCTGCAATAAGAACTGATAATGTAATCATACTGTTCAACGGCATCGCTCATGCGACGTCGCGCACGCGGCAATTAGCGGCGGCGCGGCGTAGCTCGCGAACTCTGCTGTGCGTTGAGGCTTATGGCTGGGTTCATACTGATTCCCACGTTCCGGAACTGTTCCCGCACAGGCCGCACTGTGCTGGAACTGTTCCGGAACTGTGCTGCATGTGCTGCAAGCGCCCCGCAAGCGTTTTGAACGGCGGGAGTTGGAGAATTTTGACCGTTTCCAGCGGTTTTTCTTCCAGATGCCCTCTCATTTTATCCTTATTCCTCTATCCCGCTTCCCTTTTTGATCAGCAGAACTTCGAACTCGAAGCGGAGTTGAGGAATAAGCTCTTTTCTGCTCGGCGTATCTGACAGAATGTCTGTTCCTTCCCTTGTCCATTTTCGCTTCGTTTTCTTTTCGCTAAAACTATTCCGTTTGTTCCAGGAAGCCGCTGCGTAGTTTTCGCAGGCATCCGTCTCGAATTAGGACATGCCAACATTCTGAAAATGCGGAAATGGGAACTCCGCTCTTGTTACCTGATGAATTTCGTTTTTGAGCATTCTCAGATCCTTTCCTTTTTTCATATCGTTGCTTCTCCGTTCTCTCTTCTACTCCGCTTCTCCTAGCGATGAGAAAAGCTGCGAACTTGAAGCGAAGTTAAAGAGAAAACGCTGTTGTTTTTCGTACGCATGTTTCGGATAAGTAGAGAAGAATAACGTTCATTCCTCGACCCCGCTTCAAGTTCACAGCTTTTCTCATCACTAGGAAAAGCGGGGTAGAGGAGTAAGGCGAAAGTGAGAGAAATCTGGAAGAGATACCGTTGAAAGCGGTCAAAATTCTCCAAATTTCGCCGTTCAAAACGCTTGCGGGGCGGTTGCAGCGCATGCAGCACAATTCCGGAACACTTCCAGCACAGTGCGGGAACTGTGCGGGAACAGTTCCGAAACATGCGAATCAGTATGAACTATACTTGGGTAATTCGATAATTTTTCATCGAATGAATGAATATCGAATAAATTCGAAAAGGAAAAATTTCGAATAAACGAATATCGAATAAATTCGGAAAACCAAAAATATCGAATGAATGAATTTCGAATAAATTCGGAAAATCAAAAATATCGAATGAATGAATATCGAATAAATTCGGAAAATCAAAAATATCGAATGAATGAATATCGAATATATTCGAACATTGGAAGTCGAATTTCGAATAAATATTCGAATGATTTATCGAATAACTAAAGCAATCACATCTCAAACTTGCCGACATATCTGGCTAAAGCCGATCCAATCATAATCAGCCCCCTAGTATCCTCTATACCAACTCCTAGCTCAAAATTTTCCAAAAATTGCTGAAATCAATAAAAAAAATTTCGGTTTTAATCAGCACCTTCACTTACCCCTTTGCACCAACTCCCAATCTCGCAGTTCAAGATTTTCCAAAAATCGATAAAATCGATAAAGTAAATTTTTATCCATAATCAGCACCCTCATTACCCCCTTGTACCAATTCTCAACCTCGTAGCTCAAGATTTCCCAAAAATCGATAAAATCGATAAAGTAAATTTTTATCCATAATCAGCACCCTCATTTACCCCCCTTGTACCGACTCCCAGTCCCGTAGCTTGAAGGCAGGTAGCTACGAAGGCGACGGTATAGGCTGCTGCATGACGAAGGCGCAATATCTTCGGGCGCGAACGCGGCTTTATTAGCCGCGGAGCGCATGAGCTGCGGGATCTACAGCGATGAGGATACGCGCAAGTCGCGTTCGCGCACGCTCAACTAATATCGCCATTGCGCCTTCGTCATGCAGCAGCCTTTAGCTACGAAGGCATGTGGTTTCCTCCGCGAAGCGAGCACGAATGCCCCTATAACACCGGGCATACTGCAGGCATTTCAGTGGCGACGTGGTATGGCAATACTCAAATTGTCCAAAACCTATTTTGAAAATCCTCAACAAACCGGCGTGCTTTCTTGGATCTTGTATTCTGTTTTCAAGTTCTGAGAAGAGAGAACAAGCTAAAAGCCAGTAAATACTGGATTTTTGTTCCTACAAGCGGAAGGTCAGACTCTTTTAACTTGCAATATCCAAGAATCCGGCGCAAGAGATACTTGCTGATGTTCAACAACGTGTTCTACAGGCTAGGTGGCTTTCGCACCTCCCGGTTGAGACCACTAGTGCAGAGAGTAGTCATATTTTCAGGAGTAGACTGAGAAGGCTTGACTTGTCAAGTATCGCTAACACTGATTAGTGTTGCATGACAGGGCAAGCCATCTGCATTAGACCTTTTGGGCTTCCATTGGGTGCTTTGGACGTGCTATGATGGCGGATGTAATCGCTTTGGGCTTTGTTTTCTATCACCTTTCTTCTCCATTTTACCTCTAAAACCTGTCTTTTCAGGTGCTCGGTGATCTTGCATTGACTTGCGGGTTCAGTTGTGGCTGTAAATTATTTCTTTGACGCCTCTCGTGTATCTCCTCATGTTGCGTCAAACTTTTATTTTTGGTGTACTCGTTTTGTTCTAGTTACTAACACAGTTTCATCAGCATCTCAGTCCGAGTCTTTTTCGTTCAGCTATCTAGTAGTCAATCGTACAGCTTCCTATTTCAACAAATGGATTCAATGAGAATCGTTTCACCTTTGGGGTCATTGGGCCTCCCCAGCATTCCGGCTAGGTTGGGTTATGGTTATTATACCTGAGGCAGTAGACCTGCCTTATAAGCCGCCGGATTGCTTTTAAGAGTGACTAAAGATCGTTCCGCTGGCAACGAGGGGGCATGCGTCCCATCTCCATGGATTCAAAGTTTTGGAGTGATGAATCTCATGCCTACATCTGCATACTTATCTATTAGCCTACCAACATATTCAGTGCAAGCAGTTTTATCTTCTCACATTAGTCTGATTAGGACCAGACTCGGACTGACATGATGATGTCTGCATTTGTTTACATGTCTTGTTCGTTTCCGCTGTATTACTAACTTCTTGATGTGTCTTTTTTTTATGGAACGCCTTGAGCGTACAAATGAAATGAAATGAAATGAAATGAAAGTACAGAATGCAGGGCATTTATCTTTTTAGTATGTTGTACACGCTAAGCATTTGTGGTAAGCTGCCATTACATCTGAAGACATCTCGTAACTAGCAAATCGCGTACGGCGATCTAAACCGTCTAATCCTGCACTACAACTGCGATGTCCTTTACTCAATATACACATTCGCAAAAAACTCCAAGGTAACGAATAGGCAGTTTTGCAATAATTTATGCGAGCAAGAGTGCTCACTAGTGTGGGCTTTGCGTACCGCAAGCATGAGCAATGCAAAGAAAGAAGAACA